CCAACTCCAGCAATTCTGTGAGTCTGTGATTCTGTTATATTTTCCATCTTTGCATTCAGTACAGATTTTCTGGATCTATTTAGAGTCCCCGGTAGCCTTTCCATTTTTGTTGTCAGGAAGAATGACTGTTAGATCTTGTCCAACACTATTCACAGGGACAGGAAAACTGATGAGATGGCATTGGTGCAGTTAAACTTCCCACCAAGATGCCTATGCTTGTCTTATTTGGAACTTCAGTGAGAGCAAGTTTCTGCCTGGGTAACTCCAAGGCTGTATTTAGGAAGAAGTTCTTTTTTTCTTGAGGTTAGTGAGACACTGACACAGGTTGCTCAGGGATGCTCTGGATGCCTCCTCTCTGGAAGTGTTCAAGGCCAGACTGGATGAGGCTTGAAGCAACTTGGTCTAGTGGGAGGTGTTCATGCCCATGTAGAGGGGTTGGAACTAGATGATCTTTAAGGTCCATTTCAACCCAGACCATTCTGTGATTCTGTGATCTTGCACTTTGTTTCTGAAGATTAACTAATACATTTGTGCAATTTTTGTTTTAAAATTATGCTAAATACCAGGATTTAGAGTTTTGTGTTTACTGATGAGCAATCTGTGTCTTACTCTGAACATGAAACTGAGACTTGAGCCTTGCTGTCATAGGTATCCAGGAAATTCTAAACTGTTTGCTGATACAGTAAACTCTATCCTAATATGAATTAGAATGACTCATCTCTTTGTTCTTACTGGAAGTGTGTGCTGGGACTTTATTTCTTTTATTAGTTTCTAGTCCAAATCTATCACTGATCAGTATATAACTACTTCTTTTGTAACAATACTCTTTTCATTGTTGTTGCTCCTGCTGGTTTTTTACCTCTGTGCTGTAAATTATGCAGCAGTTGGTTTTCTGCTCAGCCCTGATTTGGCTGCTTTGTGATTTTCAGGTTACTGTTTGCTGTGTGATGTAAACCATTTAATAGTATCTATGCGATTCCCCTGAGAAGCCATAATTCATACTGCCTGTCAATGTGTTGTATTCCTAAACTACAGGTAATGGAATCTACAGATTTTCTGACTTACCCCAAGCCCTCTGATATTCCCTTGATAGCAAGGGTAGCTGAGGTATGCTGGAATTCCAGCATATTCACCAGAACTGTGGTAGTGAAACAAAGCCAACAACATGATCTGAAGTTATGGGTGTGATGAACATCAATTCTGTTTGCAGCACCATTAGCTTCTGTATAGCTTCTGGAGTGACAGTATTTACTTCACTTGGATCTCTGGGAAGCCACAGTTTACTCTTAAACTGTTGTTATATGCAGCATGTAAAGGTTTTATTTCATGTTATCCTCTAAGGACAGGAGGGAACTTTAGTTCATGCTCTTATCAGATGTGAGCACCACAGGTATCTACCCTAAATAACAGTATGAATCCTAAATATTGTTTTAGCAAGACAAGGTAGCAAATTTTGGAGCTTGCTGCAGTCCAGTTTGTAGTAGTGTCTTCATGTACTGTCAACCTTGCAATGTTTAAAGGAAAATTTGCTAAGGTTATTGTAATCTTACTTAATAAGATTACTTTTTAGTAAGAAAAACCTGACTACTTTTCATAGCAGGCTCTTCCTTGTGACTTGATGAGGGTAGCTCACCTTCTGTACTTTTCTTGGTTTCCCAATGTATTGGTCTTGATGTGTTAGATTAGAGACAGAGACGTGGGGTTTTTTTGCTCTCAGTTATGTTTAGTGACTCTTATGTTAACTGGACTTAAATGCTCTCAGTGTGTCCTGGTGTGTTTGTTTGTGGGAGCATGGAGGTAGTGGGGAAATAAAAAGAACCTAGTCGATGTTTCATTTTTGGTGCTTATCCGAGAGAACGTTGTATTTTTAGTCAGAGTTGATGATGGTGACTTTCTTCTTCAATTTGTGTTAGTGTTTGTTTAGAGTGTACTGTATATCAAAACATTTTGTCAAAATGTGCTTATATTTGTATACACATATCCTACTTGTATGCATATATTTACACATCTAGATAGAATTTATATATTTTACATGTAGATGCATATATTTCTACACGCCTGTGTACCTATAGCAGATATATGCATGTGTATATGCAGGTGTGTATATACACACATTTATTTAAAATGCCACTCATTACGTTTGTTACATCCAATTTGCAATTTTTAAAATATTACCTCTGTTACATGCTTGCTTGTGATTATCATTTTACTTAGGACTTGACATCCTTATCTTGCTACAGTGACACAAAGTTGTTTCTTTTGCAGAGTGCTTAGTAATTTGCTGGTTGAGTAAGCAATAAGCTTTTGAGTAAGCATATTAATAAATATTTTGATCAGAAATTAATATTTATCTTGTAACTGCTTTTCTGATTATCATGGGAATGATTTTGTATACTCTCTTTGAGCACACTGCAAGCAAATTAGTAACAGGATCACACAGAGTACCAGAGTGACAGAGACTGACAGACAGGTCTGGAGATTGTGTACTTCTGCTGCTTTAGTGGGTCCAACCCCCTGCTCTAGCAGGCTGCCCAGGATGGTGTGTACTTGAGTTTGAGTATGTACAAGAATGAAGACTCTGCAACCCATCTGAGTTGCTAATGTCAGTGTTTTCCCACTTTTACAGTGTAAAAAAAAATATTCTTGTATTTAACTATAATTCCATGTGGTTTTATTAATGCCTATTGCCACTTTTCTTGTGTCTGGGCACCACTGAGAAGAATCTATCTACACCTTCTTTATAGACTCAAGTCAAGTATTTACACATGTTGATATCCTCAGCATTCCCTTTTCCAGGCTTACCCAGCCTCTCTACGCATGGCAGATGCTCCAATCCTTTCATCGTCTTTGTGGTCTTTCACTGGACTTACTCCAGTATGTCCATGTCTCTCTCATAGTGAGGAGCCCAAATGGGGGGCAAAGCACTGAGATGTGTCTTACCACTTCTGAAGAGGGGAATGACCACGTCCTTGCCTCGGCTAGCAGTGCTTTTCTTAGTGCAGCTCAGCTTATCAATGGCCTTTGCCACAAGGGCACATTACTAGCTCATGGTCAACCTAATGTCCACCAGGATTCCCATGGTGTTTTTTGACAAGCTACTTTCCCAGCTGATCAGCACCCATCCTGTGCTAGTATATGGGATTATTGCTCCCCAGGGGCAGTAATTTGCACTTCCAATTGTTTAACTTCATGAGGTTCCTGCCAGTTCATTTGTCCAGCCTGTCAAGGTCCCTCTGAGTGGCAGCACAAATATCTGGCAAAACAAATATTGCTCCTAGTTTTGTGCCATTAACAAACTTGTTATGGTTTACTCTGTCCCATTGTCCAGGTAATTAATGAAGATACTAAAAATTATTGGCCGCAGTGTTAGCCCTTATGATGCTCTTCTGGTGCCTGGTCTTCAAGTATATTTTGTGCAGCTGATCACAACTCCTTAGGCCCAGTAGTTCAGCCAGGTTCAAGTCCACCTTACTCTCTATTTACCTAGCCTATAACTCATCAATGCATATATTAGCATTTTATGGGAGGCAGTGTCAAAAGCCTTACTACAGTCAAGATAAAAAATAAATCCCTCATCTACTGAGCTAGTTATTTCATCAGAGAAGGCTGTCAGGTTTATTAAGCATAATTTACCCTTTGTAAATTCATGATGGCTATTTCCAGTGATCATCATGTCCTTTATGTAGTCCATCACCTTCTGACAGATTGAGGTGAGGCTGACTGCTCTTGTTTCCCAGATCCTTCTTCTTGAACATAGGAGTGACATGTTTTCTTCCAGTTCTTAGGAACCTCCCCTGATAACCATAACCTTTCAAGGATTGTTAGCCTTTTTCAGCACTCATAGGTGCATCACATCAAGTCCCAGGCATGCGTGTATGCCCAGTTTGTTTAACGGCTCCCTGATCTGATCCTCCTCCACTGAGACTATAAGTCACAGAGACCTGTGATTTCTGGAGGGAAGTGTGGCTTTTAAAGACAAAGCTGAAGAAAGCATTGAGTACTTTGGCCTTTTTTATATCCTTCACTCCTAGTTGCCCTGCTCTTTCCAGCAGTGAGCCCACTTTATCCCTTGTCTTGATTTTGCTGCTGATGTACTTATAGAAGCCTATTCTTGCCCTTTATGTCTCTCACCAAATTCAACCCTACACAGATTTTGGCTTTCATAATCCTATCCCTATTTGCTTGGATAATGTCTCTAAATTTCTTGTGGTCTCCTATACTTGCTTCTACATCTCATATCCTTACTTTTACACTTGAGTTTAGTCACTAAATGTCCATTTTCATCCGTGCAAGCCTCCTGCTACCTTTCTTTGTTTGACTTCTTCCTCATTGTAATAGACCATTGTACATCTTGAGAGGTTGATCCTTGAAAATTAACCAGCTCTCATGGACCTTTCTCTCCAGGCTGATATTATACTGGTTTCTTCCAAGTAGTTAACTGAAAATGCCCAGGTTTGCTGTCCTGAAATCCAGGATTGTGATCCTGCTTTTTGTCTTTCTTCCTCCTCTTAGGATCCTGAACTTCCATCATATCAAGGTTGCTGCAGACAAGGCTGCAACTGACCTTTATATCCTTGGCTGGTTCTTCCTTGTTTGTAAGTATGAGGTTCAGCAATGCGTCTCCCCTCATCAGCCTGTCAATTACCTGAGGCAAGAAGTTCCTCAAAGCGCTCCATAAACCTCCTGGTTTGCTTGTGCTCTGCGGTGTTCTCCATCCAGCATGTGCTGGAGTGATTAAAGTCCTCCATGAGGACAAGGGCCTGCAAATGTGAAACTTCTTCCAGTTTTCTGAAGAGGCCTTCATTCTTATTACTGGTCAGAAAGGAGCAGCAGGCAGCCACCAGGTAGTCCACATTGATGTGCCCACAGGAGACCCACACACGCTCAGCTGCCTCATTGCCTATCCCAAAGCAAAGGTCCATCCGTTTACACTACTCTCTTGCATGAAGGGCAGCTTCCTTCCTAAAGGGCAGCCTGTCCTTCCTAAAGAGCCTGTGTCCATGCATGGCAGCACTCCAGTCATGTGAGTGATCCTATCTTGTCTCTCTGATCCCAGTGAGCCCTGCAACGTCAAAAAGATCTCTGATTCCTCCTGTCACCCTGCATGGGGACATCCTGTGTGCATCTGATGGGCAACTTCAGATGGGCACCTGGTTTTGCTTATGTTCCAGGAAGATTCTTAAGGGCCTCCTACACATTGATGTCCTGTCAGCACTCCCTTTTTCATTTGCCTGTGCTTGAGTTGGTCCTCCCTGAGCCTTGTATTGTTCAGTGTAAGGTCTTTCCTGTCCACACCAACCAGTGCCATTTGCTTGCCAGTCCAGGCCACATCTTCCTCACTTTTACTTGCTCAACATCTCTGTCCCTCTGTCCCATTCCTAGTTTAAAGCTTCTCTCACCAAGGTGGCCTGTCTGATATCAAAGGTTCTTTATTCTGGGAATTTATTTGTATTGACCTATTGGTGCTGAATAATTCCTGGTACAATTGAGCATCATTTTGTCCTTCCTGTGTAAAATTAAATAGAAGAAGGTTCCCCTTGTGGATTTGCAACATAAAAATAGGACCTCATTAACTGAAATGGATAAAAGCAGCTGCAATGTACAACTTAAAGTTAAATAAAGTTTTTGAGTATTTCTGTGTCTCAATAATTTCAGATTGCAGCTATTTTGGTTTGTATAACTTTTTACTCACAAAATAAAAATAAAGGAAGTTACAATATATGTATGAAAAAATAGTTTAATTTTAAAAATGTGCCATAATTGAACTGTGGCTGTTTCTATATATTTAAAAATCCTTGAATTTAGCATTAGCAAGCAAATTAAAGAGCAGCAATGTAGCAGGAAAGTCTTGGCAACAGTTACTAGTGAAATTTCCAACAGTACCTGAGGATTCAGTGTTATCCCATGTTATTCCCTTCCACAACAAAATTGAGATCTTATTGGAGAACCTGTGCAAAATTAATGTAATCTATGTTTTACCTGCAGTACAACACTTCATTTTGTAGTATATACTTACAGTCAGGGAAATGAAACAAGTGCCTGTTTGAAGTCTGCTGTATAGGGTGTCAGAAAGTGCTAATTTATCCCTGTGTCCTTATTTCTACTGTTGTGCTTGTGAGCAGAATTAAATTAGTATATATGAAGTACATACTGCAGTTTTACTCTAGTTTTGTCACAAAGAGTCCTTAATACATCTCTACAGTTGTTAATTTTGAGGAGCTACCTTACATTTCATTGAGAGCAGCAGGACTTAAATACTCTTAAATGAGCATGTCCTTAAGTGTTCTGTGTTGCCCTGTTAATAGGCTTTTTTAAAACTGTATTTACTTAACAACATTAAGGTGTCTGACTTTGCTATTGTGGCACATGTAATTTCATTTTTATATAATTATTAAGATATTTTACCTTTAGTGAATAATCAACATATATAATAGTGGCACAAGTCTTAAGGAATGTTTTTTGGAAAGTTCTCTTAACATGTTTTCTTTGTCATTCTGTGGTTTCTCAGAAAAAAAAAAGAATCTGGGGTATTGCTGCTTACCTCTAGCAGTATTATAAAAATGAAATAATAGCTCTTGTTGTTAATCAAAATTGTAAGCACTGAGAAGTTACGTACGTGTTGAAGGTCACAAAGAAAATTTTTTGAGGAAGTAAGGGAGTAAATTAGTTGGAGTGATAAGGTTGTAACTCAGTATCCAGATGAAACGCTAGTGTGAAATGTGCATGTGAACTAAACAGGGAATAAAGTAAAAAATATATTAAAAGGGATGAATGGAGTCATCTGAACTTGTAACAAGTGTTACAGCAAATATTCCAAGTTTTTAATAAATGTTTGTAAGTAAGACTTATTGATCTTAGTTTCCACCCTGATTTATAAGCTCTACCAGCAATACAGTAAAATTCTCAAGCAGACTGATTATACTAGGGCTACGCTATGATTGCATCACAACACAATTCCTATTACTGTGTTTGTATTGTTATTGTTAAGTTATATAATACACACCAAAGTGTATGTGCTTGGCTTATGGTTGTTGCAGTATGCTGTACCTGCAGTCAAAAAGCAATTTATCAGCAGAAATACTTTTTATGTGTGGGGAACAGATGCACTTCCGAGAAGAGACTTGTATTAAACATACTTTGCAAATAAAGAAAAGAAGTTTGGTTTGGTTTGTTTTTTCTGATGGTTGTAGTTAAAGAAAATTGAACTTATTTTACAGACCACATGTTCTAAATACTTAATGTTTCAACACTTTCTATTAAAGAGTTAACTGAATATTGATTACAAAGTATTGATGCAGTAGTGAAAATCTATTTATTTTAAAGCAGTTAGAGCATCAGAGGGAAACTGATAGGCATTCCATTTTGAAAGTAACTGTTTTGTAGATATATCACAAAGTATGTGATAAATATTTTATGTGTAACTTCTAATGTTTATAATGCAATTGACAGAAAAATAAATGAAAATAAGAAGCTCATTATCTACAATAAAACTATTTTAACACAATTCTTTAATGGAGGTCAGTGTTGTTATTTTTTCTAATTTCTCTTTATTGCTTGTTTTGCACAGGAAGGAGTTACAGGAACTGCAGAATCTTTACAAGCAAAACATTGAACATACAGCAGAGCAGGCTGAGCTGATAAAGCAGCTTCAGGCTCTCAATAGTGATACACAAAAAGTACTGGAAGACCAAGAAGATACTCACACAGCTGAAACATCCTCATACCAAAAAGTATGTAATTCTGCTTTATGACCACAGGGCTCATATTAATATCCATCTCTACAGTATCAGTGAACAAAGTTATCAAAGCACTATGTACTGTTGTGTCCTTTAGATCTCTGGATCTTTATTGTTAGCAAAATATGGCTGGCAGAGTGACAGAGTTTATTGAACTAATTACATGCTGGCGTATATAGCCTCTAGCTTACAATGAATGGATGAGCCTTAAAAATTAAGGTTTAGTTACATCTGAGGAAAAACAGGAGTGAATTGCCAAGCAAAAAAATTTCATTATGTAATTTTGTGTTAGTTGCATCTTTCTTCTTCTTCCTTACCTAGAGCTTTCAATTATTAAATTCTCCAATTTGTTTTTGCTACTGTAGAAGTTCCTTTAACTTGTAAATAATGTATTTATGTGAATTTCAAACACTTACTGGTTTAAGAAGCAAAAACCTGCTCTATCAAAATTAACTGAAAAAATTATTGCCATAATAACCTTGTGAATGGAAAACTAATTCAGAACAATTTAACTATCTTAACATTTAAAGAACAGATTTATTTTGTTATGAATACCAGAACGAATGCTACCTCTGAAGAGTCATGTGGACTACTCAGAACTCCTCATTTTGAGTGTAAAATTTATATGGATTTATTTTTCAGTCTGTAAAAAATAAAGACACATTTCCTTCATTTTTAGAAACATTGAAACTTTCACATACCTTGTACCAATCTTAGAACTCAAATGATGTACTGTGCTTTTAAAAAAGAGTTGTTTTGCCCTATCATTGTACTTGGAGTACGCATTTTGTGATGAAATTGTGAAGCTGGGCCTAAGTCAAGCCAGAATCAATACTGGGTTTCTAAAGATGTGTTTGATTAACATTTTGTAGCACACAGTGCCCAACATATTTTTATGTACTTAACTCTGCTCAAGTTTATCGTTGTCTGCTGTGACAATATTCATTGTCCTTTATTCGCAACAACAGTAGCCCAGCCAACCTAGAGGTGGACTCCCATCAAAATTTTTCAGAACATGTACATGACAGAGAGAGTTCACCTATCTAAGGCAAGACAGAGTAAATTACAGATTTTTAAAAAATACGGAATGTACGTATGAGGAGCCACCATTTCATTCATTTTTCATTCTACAGTCATTGCTTCTGCAAATGTTAAATGGATCCTTTCAGTTAGTCAACGGTAAATGGCACAAGTTAAAATAATGTGAGCTCTCTTTATCAGTGTTTAAAAGACCATATTCCTCCAGACTAGTTCTACAACGTATGAAAAAAACATAACCAAGTTTTATTGAGACTGTTTTAAAGCATGACAAAACTTATAAAAGTTGCTTTACCTTGCATAATAGTGATTTTTTCCAGTATTACTTACTTCAGTTTTGGAGTTTAACCTGTTCTATGAAAAATAACTTTGCGATTATAAGCTATTTACGTATTATGGAAAATTGCTGGGTATACTTATATTGTTATACGGGAAAGCCACTTATAAACTGGTCCAGGGTTAAAATTCAGAATTGCTTCAGAAAGCTGGTTTGCAGGTCTTGGTCTGTCTCAGCAGGACCTAGACTTCTGCTTAGCTGATCATAAGACAAGAAAAAGAATAGTGTGGTTTTGAAGAAAAACCTGTTTTCTGGTATGTGCTGAATACATTAACTCTCAGATGACCCTAAAATTTGCTGGTTTGAAGGTGTTGAATTAAATATTTTTCCAACACGGAGGAGTTAGATTTGCCTCTTAAACCAGCAAAAGCCAACTAAAGTATTCCAAGAATCTGTGGAACTGATAAGCTGTCTTTTTTTTGTAAAATATAAAAATATCAAATATGTGGGGAAAAAAACTGTTATTTTTTGTTTTTATAAAATTACATTTTTTAAAGTGTATATATCAAAAAACAGTTTAAAAAAAGTAAAAAGTTATGTTTTGTTTTTTTTTTAAATTAAGACCTCAAAGTCAGAGTGGAAAACATTTAATAATATTTGTGGCAAACTGAGTTGAGAGACCTTTAGAGACAAAAAGGAATTACTTTATCATTACAGTTCTGGTCTGTAGTTCTGGTTGGAACTGTTTAAAATACCCAAGTGTAATTGCTTGAAAGTAACATGCGTTTTCCAAATCACAAAATACACAATCCTACTGAAGTAATGGGAGGCCTTTAGAAAACACAGATTGTGTAAAAATAATACAAATGCCTTTTTTTCTCTTGAATGAGAAAGGCAAACTTTTGCAGACAAATATGTGTTCTGTTTGTCTTCCATGTATTATTAATATCCAGGCTGCAACATCTAGATAAGAATGTGTTGGGTATTGTATTGTCCTACTGCTCCAAATGGCACTGAGCTTATCAGCGTGTACATCCTATGATATATTGTCCCTTACAGTAAGATCAGTGACCTCTCTGTTAGTGGTCAGATAGGCAGTATATGCTGTATACCTGAGTATAGCTCAAGCAATATGGTTGGCTCACATATTCAAAGCTCATCTTAACAGCCTCCTATTTAGGAAGAACAGCTCTTTGTGCTGATGTTAATTTGTAGTATGAAACAGCAGACTAAAGAAAAACCACCACCAACAAAACACATTTCTGATAAACCAGAGCAAAGTATTGAACTTGCAATAGATTATATTTAAATCCATTGAGGACTACAAATTCTCTTCCTAGTGTAGCTGTAATGGACAGAATACACACATGGAGATCTGTAATCTCTTTTATCAAGATGCATTGGCTTGACATAGTAATTCCTTTTCCCTTTTTTTTTTGTCCAAGTGCTGTGTTCTATAATAGCTTCTTTACATTACAGCATTTATGTAAACAAATTGATATATTTCATATTGCAGCTGTAGTTCTCTTTCCCAAGGATAGGGAATATTTTTCTAAAATGTATAGCAGCTGTTTTAGTGGTCACAGATGCTCTGGGGACTTCATCCTGTGCTGGATTTAATGAGACTCAATAGATTTGTCATTACCAACAATTTCAAGGTGGAAAGACTTCAATCAATACTAGGCATAATAAGACAAGAAGAGATTCTGAACTCCTTAGCCCACCTTATCACAGTTTTCTGAAATTACAATTTAGGACCTTTGTTTTTATAATGTAGTACTTTCCCTTGATCTGATGTGGTCTTTAGGTTCCTTGTTAATGATACTGATTAAAAATCTCTTAGTGGAAAGCCCTGTTAGTGAAGGGGAAATACAGTTATTTGTCATTAAACAGGAAATTGCAGTTCATGTCCTGGAACTCAGTGCTCAAATGCAGAATACAGTGGATAGTGGTACAGTTCATGCGTGTACTGAAGAAAGGCATTGTTCAATAGTTGGCTTTTTGGCATAATTGAAAAACGCAGTTTGATTTTTCAATTATGAGGCTTTCCAGAAGTCTGCACCAAGTGCATCAGACAGTAGAAAAAAATAGAATAGTGTCAGATCATTTTTTTGGTTAATTTTTTACATGGTGTCCATATGTGAAGATAGTTTGCTTTCCTTCCAGCCTGAGAAATAGTAATCAGAATGTAAAGTTACTAGCTTTGTCATGCTAAGCTTAAATTTTGCCACTTACAGACTGCAGCAACTTGCAAGTTTAATTAAAAATCATGTAAATCTGTTTATTTTTATGTAAGCAACAGTAAATTCACAAAATAAAAATTAAAACTACATAGATATGTCAATGCAGGTTCTCCCTTAAATTGGCATGAGAAACTAATTTCTTTCACAAGTGTTAAGAGCTGGGATGAAATACCTTTCCAGTGAAATGCTGAAGCCCACATCAGTAGTAAGTGAATCATCATTTTTATCCGTGAAAAACTCAGATCTTTAACAATGTCTCACACTTTAGATCAAGGTTTGATGCTGATTTCTGTTGTTGGTTGCTAGCTAGTAGACTTTGGCATCAGATGGCTCCATAGGTTAAAGCTGAAAAATGAGGAATCAGTCAGGAAATGGGTAATAATGGATTCATTGAAGGCTCATTGTATTGGATTTTTGCAGTAACAGGACCAATCAACAAGACTGGAATTCCTTTGTTTTTATGCTCTCTTCTGTTATTTTTAAGAAGGCATATTGCTGAAGTTATCCATTTTACATGGTTTCCAAACAGCCATGGCATTTGCAATTATGTAGTACCATGAAGTTGAGGAAAGCACACTGTCTCTTTTAGCTTATACTAGTGACGCTTCCCCACATGTTGTCTGATGTTCCTTACCTCCATTCTGTATTTTCTTTTTCTTCTTATCCTCTCACTTGTATCTGGCATTTTTCTCCTGCGTCAGAGGCAAGCGTCATGGTCTCTCGTCTTAGAAAGTCACTCTACCTCTACTTTTAAATGTAAAAACCATGAATGTACTGTATGTGTCTAGAATGCCTCTTCAGCTTCACCCTAGGGCTTCTCAAACTGAATTCTGCCCTTGTTCTTTTCAAGTTCTTGTAAAACAGTATGATCTTGTAACATGGATTTCTGTGATAGTGCTGTAATAATTTCCATTTTAGATTTATTGTGTCTTAATTTAGACTAAATCTTTTTTCCATTTGTGTCATTACTATGTATTCTGTGTTATTATAAGTTCAGGTGCTCAGATGTGTGAACATTCAGATAAAGCATTTAATGCAACAGTGTTTCTTTTACACCTAGTTTATATAGTTGTCCACTGTTGAATTTTAAGGAATGGCTCTGAGTGTTAGTTCCTCACAAGGACATACTTCTGAAATAAAACTCTTGGATGTCCCTACTTTTCTGTGCTTTAGATGATATCATAGAACAGCGTGTGGGAGCATTTTGAATTATGCCTTTTGGACTATGGAACTGGAAATTATTTTGGAACTGGAAAATATGTCCCAGATGTTGACATTCAGTACACAGGAGAAGTTTAAATCTAGTTTAAAATAGATGCTGCACACTTGTATAATGTTAGTGTTTGTTACTTATGTAATCTGTTTGAAGTTTTTTTCCATTTGCACTATCACTCTTGTTAACATACAATACAACAGAAAGAAGGGGTAATTGTTTAGTTTACTAGGTTTTTGATGGAATTCTTCAGCTTTCCTTGGTCTGACATAGCTTGGTTTTACCATCACTTACATTTATTTAATGTATGTCAGTACTTCATACAACCATTATCTGTCTGTTTAGTATTTTTTATCTTGTGAGCAATTATAGAGTCCTATCTTTTGGTTCTCCCAGACTTCTTAGCTTTGGCCTGGCATTTTTATATCACTTGATGACTTTAAGCACATGTATTTTTCTAATGAAGTTTTCTGTTTTAAGTAACTTTTGAAAGATCTAGCAAAAGGTATATGCTGGTAAAATCAGTTAAAGCAATACGGGAAATTGTTCGGGTAGCTGAGAAATATGGGATACTTTCTTTTTTTGTAATTCAGCTAAGTTACTCTTCCTTCCTGACTGATAAATAATACTCTTGTGTCATATAGAATAAATTTATTACAGTCTACTGATTTCAGATACCTTTAATCTTTTTTTATTTGTTTTTTAAGTACTTTCACTTGTAACAGTGTTTGTTGCCTTTGAAAGAAAGGACAGCTCTAAGGCATTAGAAAGAGATTCTCAAGATACAATCAGTGCAACAGTTTGTGCCGAGCAAAGTCTTGTGTCTCTGGAAGTTGCCTTTTTTAATAAGAATAACATTTCATAAAATATATAAATAATAATTATTATTAATTATAATTATTTAAAATATTTTCATTTTTCTTTCTCTCTTTTAAGCATTTTCATGTATCTTTTCCTGGGGATCAAACAGTCTTCTGGGTAAATCTCATGTCTTACTGACGTTTATGTAAGATATGACCCCTCACATATACAGTCAAGATTTCACTCATTCCTCTGAAGCTTGCTAGTTCTGAGATAAATTATTTACAATAGTTTTGTCTTTCTGTTGGGTTTCCTACACAATTTTCCATCTCCAGTCCTCTGATCTCCATTTTCTTTCTTATTTCTTTACACCTGACTTTAGTATCTTTATTAATGGTAGACTTTTTTTCACTGTGTTGTGCGATTCTGTATGTGCTGAACTGTGCTTACTGCAGTGTGATTAAATATGATGACTCTTCTGAAACAGGATCAGAAATCAGCAGAAAACCCCCAAATAACCGAATATAAACGTTAAACATGTATTTAATCCGCAGAACAGTGCCCGACTGTAAAAGAAAACACAGGGAGCCAAATGGAAATTTGGAAGCTGTTCTATTATCTGTGGACAGTAGATAAAATTGTTTCTTTTCATACAGATAATTTTCTTGAAATTTCCTGATGTTAAATGCCTTAAAAAAAGAATCAGAGTCCTATAAACTAGTACCTTGGTGGTGTTCAGAAATCTATATAAACCTCAGTGTAAAAAGTTGAATACTGTGTGGTTTTTTGCACATAAGCTTTTATCTAGTTTTATGCTTGAAATATATGTGTTTAGATATTGATGTTTTCAAAACAGGAAAGGTTGGAAATGTTTATGCAAGAAAAAGACATGCTATTTGTCTTGTCCTGACAAATGCTGACTACCAAAAATACCTATTAGCTACATTAGGGAATGTGGCTGCCAGCTAGAAAAAAAAAATCATATTTTTGATGTTCTCCATTCATCTTACTAGAATGTTACCTTTCAGATACTGTAATTATGACCACTTAAGTGCTCCTAGTCATAATGTCATACCAGTATGATCTAGCTAATGAGCTCATAGAGTTATAGCTGGAAGTGTGTCTTGATGTTCTATTCATTTGGAAGGACATAATCTAAAATGCATGTTTTTTGATAAATGAACTTTTTTTTTTCTTTTTTTCTTTTTTTTGTCAGATACTTACTGATTTCCATAAGAATTTGACTAATTTTGAAGTTGCATTTCTAGAGATGCTGTAAGCTTTCTTATATACTTAAGAAAGATTCAGAAAGACACAGAAATTTCAATGTGAAAGTTTAGTTTTTATGAGTCAAATTGGAAATATTAGTCTATCTGGATTTTGAATTAATTTTCCCTGAAAGACATGATCTCTGATCTGCTTTGGAAATAGTAGAGAAGTAATTTACTTTGTCCTAAGTGAATTTTGAGAGCCCATGGGCATAGAAAATTTTAGAGGGAAAAAAAAAAAAAAGGAAGATACTTTTTTTCCAAATTTCTCACGTGTTAGGTAGACCCTTTCCAAATCTAATAGTTGTGATTGTTTTTCAAAAGCTTTAACTTCTAAGTGATGTAAGCAGATGAAAGGGAGAAAGAAATACATGCTTTAAGTGAAATTGAGCAGACAAAGAGTAAAATGAAGAGCAAAATAAAGTTTTAAAAATAAAGTGACTTGTGCAAGTTCCTTGTGCTTATATTAATAGATCTGGATAGTCTGATTTTAGTTTTAAATTAATTTATTTGGATTTTCCAAAGAAAACTATTAGCTGCAGAAGTGCATGCCTTCTAGAGAGTCTTTTATGGTAGAATAAACAGGTGTTTGCAATATTGTTTATTTTGAGAAAAAAAAGACAATTAAATGAACGAAGTATTGAAAGGAAGAGAAGGAATAGGTAGTAGAGCTGTAAAGTCATGTATTCCCTTCAGAATCTATAATGTTGTTTATTCAGCTAAAAGTTTATTTTTCATTCTGGTTTCTGTATTTCTTTTAATAAAATCCTGGTCTTGTTTAAAACACTTTTCAGGTGTTTGTATTGTAAAAGAAGGGTAAAAATAGAGGGATGGGGCGGCTATTTGGTTCTCGTATTGCGAAACAAGTTCTTTTTGTCAGATGGCTTTTACTGTAGTTATTACTCAGGTGTAGTTCTAGAAAATCTTTGTTCGTATGGAATCTCTTCTAAAGTGACTGCGGCATATATACAATATCCTGGTTTCAGCAAGAACAGTTGCACAATAGGCATGGGTAAGAACTAATCTCTGGGTTTTATGATTCATGTAAAAAAAAAAAATTCCACTAAATAATTATTTAAACAACCGTTTTAAACCTTGTACCAATTGCAGTAGGCATTAGTGGATTGACTGTATTGCTAGCCAAAGTATATTAAAAATGTTAGTTTTAAAAGACAAAAATACTCTATAAAAGGCAAGGATGGTATTTGGTATTCTTGCTTCTTCAGTTTTATTCCCAGGACAGATGTTTCAGTTTTTTGCCTATCCTTAATAAGGGAAAATTTCTTCTATTGCGTTTTCTATATTTGATATAAACTGTTAAAGAAGTAAAATTAATGCTTATTTTTAGATGCCATTTCTATTATTAAATACCACAAAGAAGAAACTGAAACTGATTATATTCTAATGTAATTTTTATTTTTCTAGAAAACCTTGTTTCCTACTTAAAGTTTTAGTGATTGTTGCAGTCTCTGTTATCAAAAGTATAGAGTGAGACAGGAGGCAGGAGGACAAGAAGTGTGAAAAAATTGTCAAATTGTAAAAAAGAGAGGGTGATGGTAATCTACACTGAAGTTATTTTTAATCCTGTTATGTCTCTTCTTCCTTTTCATAGCTTTATAATGAATTGACTTTGTGTTTTGAAACTCTCAAAACAAGTGAAATTCAACTGCAGAAAACCTGTTCCTCTCTTCAGGATCAGTTACTTGAAAAAGATCGAAAGATTTCTCAGTTAGAAGAGCAACTTCAGAAGGCTTATGGTGCTCTATATGGTGTACATCATGTTTCTTCTCCAAAATGTGAAGTACAGGTGAGTTAACTTCTAGAATAGTAGAAGCTTTTTCTTCTTTTAAATAAAGCTTTTGTACTGGAACGTTTTAAATGAAGTTGCAGGAGTTAGCTGAAGAAAAAATGTGGAACTATTCTGCTTCAATAGTGTAACTATTTCTGCTGTGGCTAATAGAAGTAATGAGTAACCGTGTCAGTACTCAACAAGACTTTCATTTATAATCCACAATGAAGACATGAAAAATAAAAATAAAGCAAAATTAATTTATTTCTTGAAACTTACTGGTTGGATTGTCTAACATCAATACTTCACTGATTTCGATTTAGTAGGCTTATACAGTACAGTCTTTAAAATACTGATTTTGATTGAAATATGAAACATAAAGAATAAGTTGAAGAGGGTAACTCTCTTTTATTTTAGTGATTCTAGATTTTATCCAGTATACTTAGTATTGCAATTTGAATATTTAATGTCTACTTTTGAAGCTTAATTTCTATTTCTTGTAAATGGTAGCAGCATAAGCAGCAGAGATCCAGTTCAAACCGTGCTGTTGTAAATTTTACTTTATAGACTAGGATTTTTTGAGTTACTGAAACTGATTCCTAACAAAATGGATTTTATATTACATTTATTTAGGCTTTACTGTCAGAAAACTTTATCTGATTAATTTGTCTGCATTAAACATTTTTTGGTCTCACACCCATTGTGGTGTGGGTCAAAGCTTGCCACAAATATCTTGCTGGTTTTGGAAATACTCAGTTTATTAATAAAACATTGAAATTTACCACAAAAATCTTGAAATACATTTTTTAAACAGCAATTAACAAGTACTGTAATAAACAGTATTTCTATAGAAGAATTTAACTTGGAATCATAGTGAACATAGAGAACTATGTAATACTGCAGCCCATTGTTTGAAAACAACCAACTTTTTTCACTGTTTGCTTGAAGACTTGGCCTTTGAAGAAAGTAGAGTGGAACTGAAATTAACCAATTTAGGCAACAGAACTTACTGAGTAAATAATTAGTCTTCAATAGTGAAAGAATATCAGCAACATTTTTCAAGTGGTTGTATTCCCTTAAGCTGCAAACTGTCTTGTTATTTGAAGATTATTACCCTTATAATACACACAGCCAGGACAGATTGTAGCTTGTAAAGTGAAATTTGCTCCATATTTAAATAAGTTTGTAATAGAAAATAACTGATATTTTCTGGTGTTTGCGATACGTAGATAATTGTAATTTAAACACAACAGTCATATATGATCTTCAGTATTACTAATACCATTGTTGCTATTAGGATCAAATGCATTTGATCACCCTAAAATGCAGTTTCAATTACAGTTGGGTGTGTTTTAGTATGACAATTTGAGACTCCACGTGCAATGCTGCAAGGCATTTTTTGTCTTTAAAAAAAGGAATAGTGTTTTTTTGCAGCTTTTGAAATTCTCCTTAAAAGAAGAAAAGAAATGCAGTGTACTTTAGGAAGACAGTGCATAACTTCTGAAAACTAATCTATGTCCTGTTCTCGAGTGTTAAAGGACAGAAAGGAAAATTTGGATCCAGTTTTGAGGAATAGTTTAATTTTCATTTAGTTTGGTTTGGCATTCCATTTATCTATTCTCAGTGTACAGCAATCTGAAAGGACCAAGATACTGAAAATGTGGGGGTTATAATGGAAAGAGCAACTCAACTTTAACTACTCTATAGCGGCACTATTCATGCCGCTATAATAAAACTTAAGAACGTTTAGTGATTTTTTTTTTCCCT